AGCTCGTTCTTCGCCAACAGTCCGCTTTCGGTTCATCAATAAATTTGTGTTTGATTCGTTTGATAAATAAATGAGAGGAACATGAACAAATTTTTTTTTATTCGGTTAGTTAAACGAACCAAACACGAACAGTGATGTGTTCGTTCGTGTTTGAATCGTTATTGTTCGAAATATAAAATAATTTAAAATAATTATATAAAAAAATTATGATATTTTAAAAAATTAAATTTTATAAATTATAATTTATAATAAATTAAAAATAATATTATATTAATATACTATATTAGTAATATACTAATATAGACATTATATATTTATATAATATAAGTGATAAAATTAATATAATATATTATTTCTATATATTAATATTAGGGATGTCAAACTGACTCGTCGTTCGCGAAGTCGTTCGCGAACAGCTCATGTTCGCCTCGTTCGTTAAGAAACGAACACGAACAGTGACTTTACAAACAATTTCAAACACGAGCTTGTTTCAAACAAACTAAATTTCAAACGAACCGAACATGAACACAAGTTTTGTTCGTTCGTGTTTGGTTCGTTTACACCCCTATTACACTTCTATATACGCCCTAAATCCTAAAAAAAACAAAGCTTGGGTTACAACTTCATACACACCTACTTCCTATTATAGAGGATGACATGACATATAAATAAATAAAGCCAAAGATCAAATTACCCCTAATTGAAAGGGAAAAAAAAAACCATAAAATACAACATCTCACCTTATCTTTTACTCCAAATAAGTGAGAGATGATCGGATGAATTTCAAACTCTAAATTAGTTGCACCAAAATGGTTGCCTACGTAACTCCGCCCTCTCGATAGGAATCAAGCCTCGCGTAGTTCTTCAAAATGCTCGACTGGGCAATTAGTCCCGAGCTCAGCTGTTCACCAAACTTCTCCAGTAGGTGAGTTTCTGGATCGGTATAGCTTCATAAGCATGTACAGTGGATTCTCCCTTTTATCTATCATGTTCAATAGAACATTGTCTTCTTCAATCAAGTCTCAAACAAAGTGGTACCTCACATCAATGTGTTTGGTAAGAGCATTTTGAACTGGATTTGTAGTCAAGAATATTGTACTCTACCTGCCACAGAACACCGTCAGAGACAACTGATCAACACTGAAATCATTTATTAGGCCTTGCATTCATATTGCTTCCTTCATCCTCTCCGTAGTAGACAAAATAACACTAGACTGAAGAAATGACCTCTAAATGACTGAAACTTCTGATAATGTGAATAAGTGCTCGTTGTAGATCTCTTTTTATCCATGTCTCCTGCATAATCTGAGTTATTGTAGCCTGCACACAAATTCACAATAGATAAGTACTTCTCAAACACCAAACCAACATCAATTGTACCCTTTATATACATTAGAACTCTCTTCACAGCCTGTCATTGACTCCTTCATGGATCATGCATAAAACTGCTCACAACACTAACTACTTGTGCAACGTATAATCTAGTATAAACCAGAACATACATTAGTTTGTCCTCAACACTAGCATAAGGAGTTGATCACATATATTTTCTTTCATGATCATCTTTAAGACACTAATCTGAATTCAACTGAAAGTGAGATGTAATCGGTAGATTCACTGCCTTGATCGAGTCAGCAACCACAAATTTCTTCAGCATTTTCCGACATAAGCTTCTTTCGAAAGCCAAATCTTTTCAACTGACTTGTCCCTGAGAATCTTCATGGCAATAATTATGCAAGCTTCACCAAACTCCTTCATTTTGAAATGTTTTGATAGTTGATTCTTCTTCATATCAATCTCAATCTGACTAGCAGATGTAATCAACATATCATAAACAAATAGAAGCAAGTAAATGAACTTATTATTCATCATTTTCTTGAAATATGTGCAATGCTCATATTGGCTCCTCATGTACTCATGTCCTCCCATGAACTGAACATTTTTTTATAACACTGTCGTGATGACTACTTCGACCCATAAATAGACTCCTTTAATCCTGAGTATTTTTGAGCATCCCCGAAGTTGTAATTAACCGAAATGATACGGCCCTTTGGGAGTTGCTCCATAACAAGCAAACACAATTGACTATTTGGTTGTGGGTTGCTTTCTAGAGCCTTCTTCGCTGATATGATCCAAAGCATTTTCAATCCAATCTCATTTTAGACACAAGTTTTTGGGCTATCACGTGAAGTTTGCTTTAAGAAAATCTCTACGCTATTTCTCTTCTTTGTGTTCTTTTGTTATATGTCTGTATTTTTCGATTACTCCTCCAGAACATCCATATGATCTAGAAGAGAGACTGACTTGGAAAAAAAAAATTACGACAATAAACAAGGTGACAACTCCTAAAAAAAATAAACCAAAACATGGGTCACAGATTCTAGCCTTCCTGTCTAAAGATCAAGACCACTGATCATCTAAATAGATTGAACTGGTCCTTATTCTTTTTCTTATTTTCCTACATATCCGCTCACTGATCTGGTCTAGTTAAAGTAACATCCGATCAATAATAAATATATTCGACAATTTTCGAGGCAAAGCCCATTGTCCGAAATAGGGATTCCATTCCTCTATTCTCTTTTCTCTCTTTCCATTTCCCTACCATACTATTCTTTTAAATCTACATATCTAACATTAGAAAAGCATAAACTAACACACATTTTTATTACAGTCTCAAAACAATATTTATTAATTGTCATAATATAACAAGCATTATCTCATTCAAATTCAAGATAATTGTCATTAATTATCTTGACTGCTGCCCCAATAAAATATGAAAATAAGAAGTTATGATAAAAAAATTGATTAGAGTAGCACCATCTAAATTTAATACATTTATACAAATATTTTACATACAAAAACTTATATATTTTTTCCCTTGGACAATCACATACATACCACCCTAAACTTGCTATTTACACATCAACGACCCTCTTTCATCCATTTTTCAAATTCTCAATCAAATGTCAAAATTCATGGTAAAACTCACAACCGAAATTTTTCATTTTTATCGAAATCTCATTAGTCTGATCATGACACGCATAAATATATCGGTTCGGTAATTCAAGAAAATCAGTTGGATGATTTATTTGTAAATATCAATATTTCACATGATCTGTATGTAATTATCCCTTTTTCATTTTGTAAGAAAAAAAAATGTCAATATACTAGCTAGTTTCCATTAGTCAAAATTTTACCATTTATATGCATCAGTTGACTTTGCGTCATTGCGTGTGAGTAGCCTTATAAAGAAGATTGCACAAGTTACATTTGTTGCAATTTTGAATCACTTCAATTTTTTTTTATTGCCTTCTAATTTCTTTTAATGCATTTGGGTTTTGTAATTTTCTTTTTTTATCATAAGAAATTAAAAAATCTCAAATGCTCACCCTTTTTTAACCAATATATTATATTCCAAAAGAATTTTGTTAAAAAACAGCTAATTGTCAAATGAAAGTCAAATTAAATTACAACATATAAAAGACAATCTAAAAGAAACTATTTGAAAAAATGTAAGCTCGAGGATATACAAATCTTTAAAAAATAATGAGCGACTTTCTTCATAACTATCTTGACAATCACAATCAAAAGCATCAACAAAGAAAAGACGTCAAAAAGTGTTATATAAAGCAAAAAAAATTGTACCGATACCATAAATTGGATGTTAGGTTAGCAGCAAACCACAATATAAATAAAGAATGAAACTAGATGTACTTTTGAGAGAATGCAATCTACCACATAGACCCAACGTGGGAGGAGCTAGGACAACGAAAAACAAAGTGATATTCATGGAGGGACAAAAGTGATATTTTATGAGGGATACAAGAGCAAATTATCCTCTCATATAAGTAGTAATTTAAATTTGAATAAGTAACCCAACGTGGGTTCACCCTTGAATACAGAGAACAAACAACTAAACAAAGTGGCTAAACCAATAACTATAATAAAATAGAAGTAACCAAATTCTTGAAAGAACCCTCATTGGACAGTAATTAAAAAATAATAATAAAATGAACAAACAATTGAGCCTCATTTAGAAAAGAAGAAAATCATTATAGAAGTTCCCTCTATGAATATCCAAATAAAATATTTCAATGCAATCCCTAGGATCAAAGAGGGATAAAATATATCAATAACCAAGAGAGAAAAAAATGTAACAGTCTCTGAATAAAGAAGTAAGCAAATGGGTCATTAATAGCCCACAAATTTATTACCTTTGGATTAGGTGCGAATGATATTGTTTTAGACATTAATGGCAGTATTGCGGTGGTATTATAGTAAAATATCAACAGAGTACCAACAATATTACCTAAAATACTAACAATCATAGTTACACATTCTGGATGTAATAATCGCTCTAACAGCCATGAGAATATAACTAGTTCTATTTTTTTTATATAAGGATACTAATATTGGGGGTTAAAGGGTAACCGGTTGGCCATATTAAAGAATAAGCATAGCATCATAGCTCGTCAAATGAGAACTAAGATAGACAAATAAGGAAAGAAAAAAATAAATAATATTGTATGCATAAGAAGTAGCAGAAAAATATCTATAAGCAGATGCAATTCATTTGAGATATAATATGTTGATATGCTCAATAATATCTTTCTTGAAATTTAGCCATTTACTTTTTTGCCTCATGGTGTTGAATCTAAATGTGTCATGTTGACCATACCTGATGCATAGAGTGCAGGGACTGAGGGAGAGAAAAAGACTGAGATAAAGACGGAGTGGCACTGAGACTGCCCCCAACCATTCTGTTGAGGAGTGTTCCGGACTGTCTTGTGTCTTGTGATGCCATTCCTCCTGCACAGCTCCTCGAACTGCTCTGAACAGTACTCTAAGCCATTGTCAGTTCTCAAGTGCTTCAGCTTGGTTTCCATCTTATTTTCTGTGACAGTTAGCCAGTCCCTGAACCTCTGAAAAGCTTCATCTTTTGATTTAAGGATGAAAACCCATACTTTCCTGGTGTAGTCATCTATGATGGGCATGAAGTATCTCCCTCCTCCATGAGTCTGAGTTCTGGCTGGCCCCCATAGATCGCTGTGAACATAGTCAAGGGGTTTCTTTGATGAGTGAGTTCCCGTAGAGAACTTCATCCTGGTGGCCTTCCCCAAAACACATTGTTCACAAAATTCCAGTTTGCTGACTCGATCTCCACATAACAGACTCTGCTTGGACAGTTCTTGTAAGTCTCTTTCACTTACATGCCCCAGTTTCATGTACCATAGTCTGGTCCTGTCAGGTTCTGATTGAACTGCATTTGAGAAGTTGTCGATCACGGTTCTTCCAACTAGTGAGTCTAGTCCATTCTTTCTGACTCCTTTCATGACTATGAGAGAACCTTTGGATACTTTAATGCAACAATTCTCTGTCTTGAATGAGTATCCACTTGACTCCAGCATACCTAGACAGATCAAATTTCTTTTGAGTTCCGGGACATACCTGACATGCTGCAGTATCCTTTCAGCTCCATCGAACATCTTGATTTTGATTGTCCCGCTGTCGACTACCCTGCAAGCTTTATTATCACCAAGTAGAACAGACCCACCGTTCTCCAACTGCAGTGACTCGAACCAGTATTTGTGAGGACGCATGTGGAATGAGCACCCTGAATCAAGGATCCATTCTCTGCTAGATTCAGATTCTGTGATCGCCAGAGCTTCAGCTAAATCATAGCCACTGAGGCTACGCTTTCCTATCCAGAATCTCTGGGCTTCTCTTGAAAACTTTTCTTTCTATCCGGACAGTTCCTTCTAAAGTGACCTTCTTTGTGGCAGTGGTAACACTTGTTAGATCTCTTAGAAAACTGACTTCTGTCGTTCCTTCTGGACTTTGATCTGCTCTGATCACTTTTGAAGTCTTTCTTGCTCGATCTTCCTCTAACTGTCAGACTATATCCGCTAGTTTTCTCTTTCATGTCGTGCTTCTTCTGGAGTTCTTTAG